TGAGCATGCTAAGTGTAGTTATTCTTTATGGTTTCATTGTAATGACATTGAGTTGACATGAATATTTGACATGTAGTCGTGGAGATGCATTTTCCTCATCCTAGACTATAATATGACATTTGATAATTTGACATATAGGCATAGAGATGCATATTCCTCGTGCTAGATGGTATATGATAATTGATGACTTGACACATATATCGATATGTAGGCATTAAGATGTACTTTACTCATGCTAATTGGTAAACGGAAATTCTTATCTAGTGTTGTGAAATGGAAAAATACAGTTCTGTTGATAAACTCATGTCTAGTTGATTTTACTGGTAAGATTCGGACTTTGACTGTCATACTTGACAAGCATGTCTATTTCCTGTAACCGTGATCGAGCTGAGCATGATAGTTTTCTGAGTTATTTTACTATATCCGGTATTATATATCTCATGTTATTATTCATTATTGATGTTGGACTCCTACTATCTTCCGAGCTTGCCACTGTTTTCAACCTAAGATTAGGTTTGTTATTTATTGAGTACGTGGGGTCGATTGTACTCATACTACACTTCTGCACCTTGCGTACAGATCTTGCAGCTTATGTTGCGCTATATGGCGGGAGCTAGCATTGAAGATGTACTTGTTTTTCGGATATAGCTGTCACTTGTCCTTGGTAGCTTTAGATTTGCAAAACTTATTTATGTATATTTTGAACAAATGATGTACATTAATCATACCAACTTTGTAAATTTAAAGTCTTAGAAGCTAATGATTTGTACTATCAGTCCTCGAGATATTATATAGAAGTTTAGTTATTTTAATCATTGATTCTTATTATTCTTATTTGAGTAGTTTTGAATGATATTTGTCTTACCTAGCAGTTTGGGTTATGTGCCATCATGACTAGATGTATTTTGGGTCGTGACAAGTTGGTATCAGAGCTCTAGGTTCATAGGTTCTATGAGTCATGAGCCAGTGTCAAGTAGAATCTTGCGGATCGGTATGATGACGTCCATACCTATCTTTGAGAGGCTATGGAGCATTTGGGATAAACTTCCCATCTTTCTTTCCTTATTGTGCGGCGTTGATTCAGCTTGAAGCATATCTCTTTGAATTCCTTCCACTCACTCGCATGTTATATTGAGTGCCCCGTATAAGTTGTGCATCGACGACTTGTAATTCCATGGATGAGGTGCGAGATGTATTTTCTATATTTTGGTGATAGGTCAGTATGGGGGACTTGAGGCCGGGTTTTGATCGCAGCTTGGGCTTCGTGGTTTTAGTTATGGAGTATGTGCATTAGGAATTATATATCTGATAGTGTCCCTAGGAGTGGGACTGGTAGCTCTGTGAGTAGTTGAATATCTATATGATGAGTATTATGTGACTGCGGAATGTGCTTAGATTATTTGGATGTGACGAGAAGAATTTTTCTTGGGATGCGAAGGGAATATAGATGCTTGATTTTTGTCTTGATGTGTTGTACAGTCTCAAATTATGAGTGTGTTGAGGGATATTTCAAGTTGTTCATTGTGGGATGAAGTAGATTCTTATGTCTTGTTGACGAGTTCAGACTCGGGAAGATTTAGTGATTGCATAGTGGTTATGGCCATAAAAGGGCATAGAGAAATGCCAATTTGAGGCTAAAGAGGTGGGTTTTCTCCTGCGGGATATTCTCAGGTTGTGTGATTCATATGATAATTTGTTTTTACTGGTAGGTTACATCTGTTACAATTTGAGTTTAGATTGCTTGAGAAAGTTGGCTTTACTGTCACGGGGATGAATATGAGTTTAGCAAATGATTTGAAGTATTTTTATGATTAGTGTTGCATGAGTTCATGAATGATTTGGCTAAATTACAGTACGAGATCATGGCAATTATGGAGCAAGGGTATTATGGGATATAGGATGTTGTGTTTTATAACTTGGATCCAAGTGGGGGAGTCTGATATCAACGATCTAATTGCATGGTTATGTGTTATATTAGTTTCGGTCTGAGGCATATTTTGAAAGGCCCCCTAAAAATTTCAACTAGAACCTGGGTTTTCGTGATGCCAAGGTAACTTATGTGTTGATGTGGTCCCCTATGCGACCACAAAATCACTCTGCGGGCCACATATCGGTTGCAGTGTGCAACAAAAAAATGGCCAATTTTGGAGGGTCGTTTTGCGGTCCAATATGTGACCCCATAATGCTTTGGGGGGCACATAATCCATCACAGATTCAACATGAAGATTTCCGAAAGGGAGTTCTGTGGCGCATTATGCGACCGCAGAATTGGTCTGTGGACCGCACACCTGACTCGAACTGCCCAGTTCTTGACATCACTTCTACGGTCCACTCTGCGACCGTAGAGCTGTGTTCAGAGTGTCCATTTTTTGGTTCTTATAACCCGACCCTACTTAGATATATAGACATTAAGGACCATTTGTTAAGTAAAAATCTGATATTTTGAGAGTGAGGAAGTGCTAGAGAGTGAGAGGGTATTCCTAAACTAATTGTTCACCAATTCTTGCTCAAGGTTGGAGGGTTAACAAGAAAAACTCACTAGGTCTTCATCCTAGATGTAAGATTCTACTCCCTAGATCTTAATTTTGGGATTTAACTGAAAATAGGTAATCAAAAAAGTAATTCCTGGGTGTGGGAGTTGTTCATTATGCATACATGTACTATCAAGGTTTGTGGGAAGATTGTTGAGCTCAATTGGGTAGAATTTGGGTAGTGGGATGAAGGAATCCACCATAGGAGGACCTTGAAACCTTAATGCACACCTAGCGCTTGATAAAATGCTCAAATGAGCTGGAACCATGAACTCCTTCCTAGTTTGGGTTAAATTTTGTTATATTTCCAAATAGATCGAAGTCGCTAAGATTTCCGGAATATTATAGTAATTTAAGGACGCTCAAGGCGAGGTATGTTGGCTAAACTTCTCTTGTAGAATCAATTTCCATGATGTCCTCGTAAGTTGCAATTATGATTGGCTCAATTTCTATTTCTCATGTTCCGAGTCCTGCTTAAAAGATTTGATTATTCTAAAATAAGCATTGTGTTGAAAGATTAATATACTCAAAATATGTTCCAAATGTTCCTATCACATCATGATTCCCTCCGAGAATGTAATCTAGCATGATCAATGTACCAAAGGTATTGTGATTTAAAATCATGTTTCAATTGCAAGTTGGTATGCCTATGTGTGAAAGAGAAACTCAATGTGCTTAAGACTCTTATTTGTTCATATGTGTGCTAAAACTTTTGATTTAAAATTCTCTTATTGATGATAATTCATGGTAATGCTTGAAAATTATAGGGGTGAGTATGAAATATTAAATACGGCCGACGTGCCAAGAATGATATTACAATTGTGGCCACTATTGCCAATAAATGGAAAGACGTGTGAAAGATTATGACATGAGTTGTAAATCCTTTAAATAATGAATATTTTGGGAGTATCGTTTACTCACCGAGGAAGGGTAGGTGTAGGAGTGATTAAGGGGCAAATCCCCATGTTGATATGATGAGATTATTTCCCCTTATATGGGATGAGATTGATATGTCAGAGATATTTCCACTTAAATGGGACGCGATTACTGCTAGCAAAATATGATGTGATGTCGACCACACGGCATTATGGTGAGATAACTTAGCCGATCGGGCTGAGATCGGACACCATGTCGCTCACATGGTGGTGTTGTGAGTGGATGTCTAGAGGTGACATGGCTTAGCGGTTCAGGCTGAGATCGGACTCCATGCTAAAAGCACGGTGGTATATCAGTACAAAAGATCTCCCAACTTAAAAATATTGAAACTTACTTGAAATTTACTTTTCTCCTAACTTGACCGCTTAATATGATTTGAGGCTCTTATTGATTTCATATTTTCTTCTCCTTTTTACTGTTACTCATTCTATTGAGAGGGTGTATAGTTTTACATACTAGTACTATTCCATATGTACTAACGTCCCTTTTGCCGGGGGCACTGCATCTTTAATGGATGAAGGTGGTTCCATAGCAGGTGATATTGATCAGTGATAGCACCACACCCTCTCCTCAGCTGACTTGGTGAACCCCATTTCATTTTGGGGTATTGTATCTCTAGTCCTTTGTGTATATTATTTTGAGGTATAGCCGGAGCCTTATTTCCGGCACCATCATGCTACTCTTTTGTGTCTATTAGAGGCTCCGTAGACATTGTGTGGGTTGTATATTGGTGTTGGGAAAGTCAAACTAAAAATGTTGTATTTGTATCACATGTTCCACTTCAAACTATGAATATGTAATGTATTTTGAGACTTATAAATAGAGTAAACAATGGTAATGAAATGGTGTTGTTCACGTGACTTTCTTATTGTCTAATTAATAAAATATATCTTCTTTTTATTCTTGGGTGATTTGGGTAGATAGCATTGTGCAGGCTTGCTCGACCGGAGTATCTCAGTTGAGCGTTGGTCGCGCTTCCCGAGGTCGGGGCATGATATATTAGTGGATCAGTTCTGACTTGAAAAGCTTGGTTTTAGGATGACTTGAGTAAGGGAATTGGTGGATGCATGATGCTACACTTTATGGATATATGGAAATCTTGAAATGATTAGGGTTTGTCATTCGGGATGGATGTAATTTCAAAGAAAAGATACTCACTCGGTTGCATTAAAGTGGGGTTACTTCTTTGGGTGTTGGGGTGCTAATGGAGCATAAGTTGTTTGGCTTATTTGGGAGGTACATTGGATATTAGAGTAGAGTGGATGACTCTCGAGAGGTTCCTAATGAGTTCATGATTCATATGTGTTAATTGAGGACTTCCCCAAATTTGTGTATTGCTAAAATCTAAGATTTGCATTTGGTTGGTATCGAGACTTACGGTATTTCTGTATCATTAGTGATTCTAAATTTCAGTATCATAGAGGTTAAAGAAACAACTTCATGTTTGTGTAAGGTCTCTTCAGAGCGGGCATTTTGGTTGCGATACTATCGGGTGATTGAGAGGGAATGCAGTGGCTTATGGGCTTTAGGACGATGTGGTTTCATGCTAAGATCTCTTGTGATGAGCTTTGGATTAAGGATCGTGGTGTACTGGCAAAGAGAAGTGTTAACTTGAAGGCAATTCGGAAGGAACTCGAAGGAATAGTACAGGTTGGTAGTAGATTGGATCATCATAGTAGTAGAAATGATCGGTTCTTTTGGTTCTTTTTATGTGGTGAGTCTCTACCAGTGTTTTGTGGCAATACTCCTGGGTTTGTCAATCTGTGTAATTTGGTTGAGTTAGTGAGATTCAGTTCTGATCACATTGGTTATGTGCAAATGGGTTCCAAAAATTTCTCGATGGTATCGAACAAGGCTTGAGATGGATATTTTCTATAGGCATGGGAAGTTTGTTGCACTTTGTGATCTTTTCTTCAATGGGATCAAGTGGAAGGTTTCCGGCTGATCTAGTGTGTATTCTGTTTGTAACTCGGAGTTGATAATGGAATTCTCATGCTTTCATATGATGGCATGGTAGAGGCGGTGCGTCGTGTGAGATCAAGGTTTGCATGTACAAGTTTGTGGTTCAGCTTCGAAGGAAAGTCATGAGTTCTTGATAGTATGGATGGTTTCTGATGTTTAGAAGAAAGCTGGAACTATCTGGTATCACTTGAGAAGTGTATGCATTTCAGAAGGGGCATTGTTTTTTGACTTAAAGATGCTTCTTTGGTATTACAGTACTCGCTTGATTGATCGACTGCTGATGTTCAAATTTTTCTATGTGACACGGAAGAATTATAGAAGTATTTCTCGTGAGATGATTGTGTATGAGGGTTGTGTTAGTCATTTGAGTGGTGGAGATGAGATCGGATACGGTGATTCATATATTCTATGGATTTGGAGACTAGGAGGGTTTTCAGAGGCAGATTATTCGGATATATGTATTCTATACCGGATCGGATTTGTTGACTTAGCACTGCTATTGTTAAGAGATGTGTTATTCAGTTAGAGTTGAACTTGTTTGTGTTCGTGTGTTACTCTTCTGTGCTATGACGGGTTGTGAGACTGTTGACTATCTACACATATGATGTGTTTCTGCTTGGGCCTTGGGGCAAAATTTGAGCGAGTTGATTTATGGGTTGTTGAAATATTGATTGTGCCTTGGTTATAGTCTTTTACTATTGGTGGTATATTGTGCTATTCATTTCTCCATGGTTATGGTCATACACTTCGCGTGTTTATTGTTGATATGCATATGGTTGTTGATTGTGAGCATCATGTCTTGAAGTATTCTATATGGACCATATTTGGATGGGGTCACGTATCGCAATGGAGTTATGATGCGATATGATCCTTTATGTTAATTTCGTGTGTTTTTGTTCTCCTTTGTGTGATGAGTTCATAGTATTGCGCTCGGTGGTGATGTATGTATAGTTTGCCGGACGGTTCTCTCATTCAATTCTCTTTCCATAATTGGGCATATTCGAGTTGTTGCTTGTTTGGTGCATGGATTGCACGATATGGGGATATAGATGGCATTGGCATGCCATATCTGTCAAGTAGCTTATACTGGATGAGGTGAGGTTATTGGATCTGGATTGAGTGCTATCAGATCTTGTCACGACCCAAAATCACATGTATCGTGATGGCGCCTATCGCGATACTAGGCAAGCCGACAACTCACAAATAACAGGAATCTTTAATTTAAAACATACTGAAATAGGCTTAAGTAAATAAAATCTCATAATAACTAAAAGAAAAATCGCAACTCAATACAGAATTCCCCAAAATATGGGTGTCACTGAGTACATGTGCATCTATATAATAACATGATCTGACTGCGAAAATACTGTCTAGGAAGGTAGAGCAGTATAAATGAAACTAAAAGAAAAAGGAGGAGGGTCAAGGTCTGCCGACGCCAAGGCGGCTACCTCAATAGTCTTCGAACTGAGTAAGTTCCAACACTAACAACCTCTATGCCTGGAAGTACCTGGATCTGTACACGAATTGTAGGGTATAGTATGAGTACAACCAACCCAATGTACTCAATAAGTATCGTAAAAAAATATTGCAAGGTAAGAGAAGCATAAATTATTAATGATACTAGCTATCACCTGTGTAGTTCCGTCTTTTAAACCGGCACATAACAATATTGAAAACTAACTCATCAAATTTTGTGAGAAAACGTCTGTGTGTGCATATGTACAGTTTCTCAAATACTCTACTCAGAAAATATCATGGCATATAGAGGTGATAAGTAGTTAAATCATACAATTGATCAAGGAAATGCAAAATCCACACAAAGCTGGTCGAATTCTCTCAATTTTCCATATCCGTTCCAAACCACTCATCAGTATTCTCAATAATCGCGTATACACCATGAAGAGAGAAACATGAGAGGATGACCCTAGGTGGATGGATCTGTATCCACACGCTGCATGGACAACTCATGTGTTGCACGAACAACTCACATGCTAATAATAGAACCCGCACGGATAACGCACGTGGTGTACGGACAACTCATATGTCAATAAAATCAATATATAAATCCGCACGGACAACTCACATATTGCACGAAAAACTCACGTGCCAATAACACAATCCGCCCAGTATGGTCACACGCCTCCTGCCCAAACATATCATATATGAGTAATTAAACAAGTATACATGTATGTGATGAATGAATAACAATTCTCATATTCCTATACTGGTATAAATGACATGCTAACGTGTAGGCATGTGCAAAGTGTGCTATCATAACTCAAATCAGAAATTTCATCACTGAAAAGCATTTATCAAGTTCGTTCAGGGATTAAACCTCTATGTAGCCTCAGCATGGCTCAAATGGATCACACAAACTATTACAAATATGAGAAATATCATAACTTTAAGCTTATCAGTCAATTATAGGCTTATAAGAGACCGAGCACAACCCTAACATGAATAAATGACTCTGGTGCCCGCACATAGGTTCATCCCCACGCATGTGCGCACCCAATAGCACGTAGCTATCACAACAATTTAGGCAACTAGTACCCCAACCGAGTTTAAATAAGATACTTACCTCAAAAAAATCAAATCACACCGCTAGCAAACCCTTCCCACGCGTATCAACCTCCGAAAGGATCGAATCTATCCAAAAATAACGTAATACTATCACCAAAAGCTATAGGAATTGATTCCAATTAATAAAGCTACGATCTTTAACTAAGGTCAAAAAGTCAACTCAAAATGTCAACCCAGGGCCCATGTCATGTGATGCGACAAAATTAACAAAATCCAAACACTCATTCAACCGCGAGTCCAGCCATACCAAAATTACTCAATTCTGATCACAACTCGACCTTCAAATCTTCAGATTTAAGCCTATGAAGTTTATACAATTTTTCTAACCCAAAACACTAATTAAATAATAAAATCAATTATATATTCATGTATATTAACCAAATACGAGTAAGAATCACTTACCCTAATCAATCCCTTGAAAATTCTTCCAAGAATCGCCTCAATCTGAGCTCCCAAAGTTCAATTATGAAAATTTACTCTAACCCTCATTTTTGAGAACTTTTATTCTGCCCAGGTGCTCTTCTTCGCGATCGCGGAAAATGCTTCGCGATTGCGAAGCACAAAATTCAAGCTGCCAAAATTAACCCTACGCGAATGCAGAAACATGAGTGCAAACACAATGCATAGGGACTCAACTCTATGCGATCGCAACCTCCTGACGCGTTCGCGATGAACAATCGCGTGGCTTCCTGCCACTCCGGCAAGTCACATAACAACAAACTAACACAGAATATGCAATAAATGGGGGAACGGGGCTATATTTAGAAGAATAAATATTTAGAAGAATAACCACTACTAGAAACACAGCATTTCCCATGGAAATTTCCCACGAAAAAATTTTTAGTGGCAATTCCCACCGAAATTCAATGGGAAAATTAAAATTTCTTTTCCTAGAAAAAACAATAACATTTAAAAATGCGCCTAATTTAGTTCCCTCTGATTCTGTGGAAAAAGTCATTAAAAAAATAATTATATAAAACTGAAAATATTTTCCAGTGAAGACATTGGAAACTTAACAATAAATAAAAAATATTTTTACATATTCCCATAGACTTAGTGTGAACGAATATTTTTTAATTTTTAAATTTTTCTTATAATTATGAAAAAGATTTTCTACAGAGATTTCTCATGATAGTAGTGGGAAAGTTTTATTATTATTCACATAACCTTTAAGTTTTCCCTCATTTTATTCACATCGTATTTTCCCCCCTATGCATCTCCCACTCCACAGATGCTTCTCACTTCACTCCATTCCGAGGTAATTCGACCTCTCCCCCCCTCTCTCTCTCTTTCTCTCACTCACTCACTCACTCTCTCCTTTTTTATTTTTTATTTCCCCCAAAGTACTTCGATACTTAGGGATTTTATACTGTTTCAAACCCTATATTTAAAAAATTTAATGTTATTCTCTTGTGCATATAAAAACTTAGGGGTTCTTTTCCAGGTGTGATGGGGTAGGGGTTGTTTTTGGTTTTTGTAATTTTTGGAGTATAAGCTGACTGGATGTGATATTTTCACAGGGTATGGTTGTAAATTAAAGAACATCTTGTGTGGTGCTTATAATCAGTAAGTTTCATTAATCTATTCAGCATTGCTTATACGAGTATAAATTTTGTTTTCCATGTATTTGTTTATGTAAACTCAGGAATTGTTGAAGATTTTTTGGTAAACAAGAAACTAATATTATTACTGCTAAAGTTTACTGCAGTAGATAGTTTGATTTGTCTAGGACACATAGTACCTAGTCAATCATTTCATAAGATGATAAAGAAAAAAAGGGGTACATCATACAAGATTAAGCTTTCAAAAACTTCCAATTTACTTCCATGTTTTGCTAGTCATCCGCTACCTTTTGCCTTCCGTTAGTATATGCTTTAAATCCGAACTTCCTGCCTCAGGCATTAACCACCTGCAATTCATTTTAATTCTTGGTTTTGGGATTAGTATATTTTGGGATTAGTTTATTCTTGTTTGTTTGGTCTATTTTCAAGATCTAATTTTTTTATATGGGTATTTGGAATTGTATCGTGAATTAATGGTGTGAATGACCCTAAGTCCATTTGCAGCATCGGACGTTCTACCAAGAAGGGCAATCGTAAGTGTGGCTACATCGGCAAGAAAGGTAATAAAAACTTTGTACAGTTTTAGTGTAATACTTTTACCTATCAATGCGCATATGTATATCAAGTGATTGTTCCTAAATTTTGACTAATCCTTTTACCCCTGTATATGATCGTGTGTTCATTTTTGTGCTGTTTGGTAGTATTGGAATGAGATCGGCCTGAATAGAGCAGAAGGAATATAAAGTTGAACCCAGCTTGATTTTTGAACGAAATGCACTTTAGTGGAGTAGAACTGCACACAATATTCTCCCTCCACATACTAGCTTAAAGTGTATTCATTTCAACTTAAATAAGTCCTGTTCTTTTACATGGAATTAGTCTTCTCTTTCTTGAAAAGTTATTTTCATGTGCTTTTAGTGTCATATGTAATTGAAATATGAAGCATTCTTGTTTAGGTTCATTGAACATAATTATTCATAACTTGAAGCTTCTCAGTTGTTTTTCGTGGAATTTGTTTCTTAGGATGTCAGATTCAAAGAGAAGGTTCCATAATTATAAAGAAGTTTCCCATCTCGCAACATAAACTGTAAATTCTAGGACACAGATTTAAATTAGTTAGCAGTAGATTTACTATACCTATATAGGCTAATACCTTAAGAAAAAAAGTGTAAGCTGCCAAACATGATGAGATGGATGATTTTTAAAGGTTGTCAATGTCATTATATTGAGTTTTGGTTGGGATTTTAGTACTAATAGATGTTTGTGTAATTGGATTCTGCTCAAAGTAACCATGATAGGAATATAGTAAAATACCTTTCAAATTGTAAGAAAAAATTGGCATGACAACGATCATTATATTTTGACGTTAAGAAAAGTTCAATACTATATAGGAAACACTCAAAAAAGAAAATCACTTTTCTGATCCAAGTACTTAACTTTTTAGACAGCCTAATTTCCCATTGTCAAGTTTATTGCGTTAACATCACCGTGATTTCTGGGCATATCATTCTACTGCATCTCTTTGAATATCGTGTGCATATTTATTTGGCCTAAATATCAAAATCTACAAAATATAATATAGGATTATTAGATAAGCTTTTATTTGATAAGAGTGGCAAAGGGAAAGGCTTTATATAAAGATGCTGGGAAGAGGATCTGTTGAAATCTGGAGAGACAATTAATGTTTCAAGAAAAGCCTACTATTGGTGTTTTTGACAGTATGCTGCTGCATAGTTACCAAAATTTTGGAGAACAGATGGTTCAATTGTTACAGCTAGCAATTTTCCTTTTAGTTCCTTTTAGTTTATCTAAATTTAATTTCATTACATTCTATTTTTAACTTTCTTCTTCTATACCAGTTTGAGAAATAAAGATACTTTAAAGTGATTAAGTCCAGCTAGGCTGCTAAGCTTTTTATCTTTCTGTGTGTTTCACTTTAAAGTTTGAGAAATAAAGGTATTTACTAATATAAATTTTCTTTAATAAAATTTACTTTTATAAAAATTATAATTTTTTTACAGGATAATTTCAAACGAAGCTTGGAGGAGTTCATTCAAAATCAGACGATTGATGATCAAGGTAGGCCAATCCAACCATCCCAAGAGGAGATCATGGACATGTGGATTAAGGCAGTCGATGGCGTGCATAAGGGGAGAGTCTACGGCCTTGGATCAGAGTTTAGTCTCGGATGTCGTACTTCTGGATTGTCTGTTTCTTATTCTTTCCCAGATTGCTCGGTTGATCTGGATGAGTTTGAGCAATTGAATAGGAAGGTAGAGAAGATTACGGAGTTGTATCTTCAATAAAGGGCTGCAAGGGAAGAAGAGGCAAAGCGAAAGGAGGAAGAAGATAGGCGAATATAGGAAGAAAAAACGTGAAGAGGTTAATTATACTCATACTACACTTGTACACCTTGCGTGCAGATCTTGGAGCTGATATTGTGGTGTATGGAGAGAGCTGGAATTGAAGATGTACTTGTTTGCCGGATATGGTTGCCACTTGTCCTTGGTAGCTTTAGATTTGCAAAACTTATTTATGTATATTTTGAACATATGATGTACTTATTACGTTTCAGCTTTGTAAATTCTAAATCTTAGAAGATCATGATTTGTACTACCAATCCTCGGGATTTTATATAGAAGTTCAATTATTTTACTCATTGACTCTTATTATTCTCATTTGAGTTGTGTTGAATGTTACTCGGCTTACCTAGCGGGTCGGGTTAGGTGCCATCACGACTAGATAAATTTTAGATTGTGACACTAATCTATACTAGGGATATAGAACTACAACAATAAAACTAAGAAGCTAGCATGATACTAGTATAATAATGTACGAAAGTCTAGAGAATCCCTCATCCCACACTTAAAGCATAGGTTCTCAATTCATATCAAAACAAACAAAACAAGCAAAGGTGGTAAATAAACTCCCTGATCACTCCTCATCATCGTCATCCTCAACAAAAATGCTCTATCAACAACCTTCCAGTCATCATCATCATCTCTCAGCTCATCATCAGCATCCTCGGGGGCTTCCTCATCCTCTGGTTGCACTACTTTAGGCTTTGAATGCTCTGGAGTGTTAATATCCTTATCATCACGTACCCGCTGGCCTCACCAATCCCTACCAAGTACTAAGCATGAGCATTTAGGCGCTCATTCAATTGTGCACACTCCTCAGAAGTGGCTGGTCTCCCACCAATCTGTAGTTGAAAATCAGGCATCCCATAAATATGGGCCATAAAGCTATCATCTCAAGCCTGACCCTCAGCACTAGTCAAAACGGACCCATTATCATTCTCCTTTGCACGAGTGCTAGTAATGTCCATGTTATGGAATGCTGCGAGAATGACTATATCAAACTCCGGCTCCTCTTCGACCTCCTCCTTCCTCAAGCGATGCGTCAGCACATTGTTAAAGAACAACCTATCTACCCTTTTACTTCTCCTACTTGCGCTATATGGTGGCGTATCGACTGACCAACATTCACCCTCTATCTAGTCATCAGTAAATAAATCAAGCAAACTCTACCTCTCCCAACGTGTGTGTCATAGTCACAAGGAAGCAACCTAGTGTTGATCAACTCCAGCTAAACTTTAGCTGCCAATTTTAAAGTCTTCCTTGAGAATTTGATGTGGTTGTGAGTCCTATTATCCCAAACCCAAGTAGCGGTGAATTGATACCATACAAAGTGTGTCAAATATCCCTATACAACGATCGGGTGATGAACTTGGCCAATAGAACATACGGGACATGAGGTGTCCCAAGTGGTTACAGAGGGGCAGTAGCAGATATATCAATCAGTCTCCTATGAATAGGCACTAGTTGCTCCTCTAGATCCCATCCAGCATAGAATTCTCTGATCAAACTGACATTAGCATCCCCTAGATTTTTAAACACAAATCTCAAGCCCGTGTCATTAATAGATTGTCAGATCTCAGAGTGCTTGGATTTCAATTTGTGCTCCTCCACTCTATTTCGTGTTGTGAAGTCGCTATTCTTCAACTGCTTGCCTCCTTTATTTTGGATATTAGACGTAGCCTCGCTTCTATTTCTTTTCTTTGGTGGCGGGGTGGAAGATGATGGCTTTCCTTTAGATGGGGCCTTAGCCTTTGCCTTGGCCTTGGCCTGAGGTTTTGCACGGGGATTTGGGCGCACCATTTGTAACTACAAACATCACCACAAGTCAACTTGTAGAACCATGAATCAAATCAAAAAGTGGTCATAATGACTCCACACTTAATAGTTTATCTCATTGTTTTTCAACTAAATCAAAGTTACTCAGACTTCACCTTGCAAAATTAAGCATGTTAGTATCCTCACGTCAACTAGTTCACATGTAATCACAATGTATGCACCACAGTTTAACAATATATCCTTGCTCCGGTGAACCACCCCAAATTTAAAATTTCATGTTGATTAAGCTTACATAATAATAATGTATCAATCCCCGAGACTCGGACTCTAATTGGGGAAAACTTTGCCTTTGAGTCATTTTATCGAACACTCTGTGCGCATTAGTTGTGTGTGAGCTCTCGTGTGGGTGAGGGATTGCCTCACCCTCCTAAATTGGCTTGAGAATAGAGTGTAAACACTTTTTCAATCACAACAATAAAAATCTTATGGGGATCATGGGATTGGGACAATTAATGGCATAAATCACTATTAGTAAATTTCCAAACTAGCAAGTTTACTTCAACTTTCAATATTCCCAGTAGAAGAGAGAGAACAAAATCATACCTTTGATGTTGAAGAGTGAGTGATCATGAATGTGTAGAGGTGTGTGTGATTGTGTACGGAATTTGAGTGATTGAATTAGTGTGCATGTGTGTGTGCGTGTTTGAGTGAAAAGAAGAGGATTTGAGCATGGTGGGGGGAGGGGGGAATTTTTTTTGGNCGAGGTGGAGCTCGCACCTAGATCGGTGACACCAGGCTGGGGTCAAGGGGGAAGGGGTGCAACATGAGGTATGTAGCGAGCTTCTGCTCACGTCTGGCTTGGCCAAGCCATCTCTGAGGCCACTAGTCACTCTCCGAGGCGCGATCACGTAAATATTTCATCCCGTTTTTTACTCCTTTTTTTGTTTCTTAACTCCCGATTTGCTCTCAATCACATCCTTTCATCGTATCGTGTTTGTACCTATTCAAACAACCAAAATTCACATAAGATCAACTCATTAGTTTGCTCCAAAATCAAAAACAAAAATCAAACTAAGCTAAACTACTATATGAATTGGGTTGCCTCCTAACTAGCTCCTTAGTTAACGTTATGGTATGACAAATACAACATCACCATAGGTTATCTCCCATGAAGTGCCTGATTTAACGTCGCAGCACGACGCAAAGTGTTCCTTCAAGCATCCACCAAGTCTATCGAGGTTTTGTAACAATGAATGCTACCACCCCTATAATGTTTAACTCTTTGTCCATTGACCAAGAAGGTGCCACCATTTTTGGGATCCTGAAGTTCTACAGCACCATGCTTCATAGCCCACACTACTTCAAATAGACCCAACCATATAGACTTGAGCTATCTAGGGAAGAGCTTCAACTTTTAATTGAACAAGAGAACGGCTTGATCCGGCTCAAACTCATAATGAATAATGTGCTTGTCATACAATCACTTTGTCTTGTCTTTATACAACTTCGCATTCTCATATGCATTCAACCGAAACTCCTCAAGCTTACTGAGGTGTAACATTTGTTTCTTTCCAGTTAGATCCATAATAAAGTTGAGCTTCTTGATTGCCTAATGCACTTTGTGCTCAAGCTCAATGGGAAAGCGACAAGCCTTCTCATAAAACAACATATACAGTGAAGTACCAAATGGAGTCCTGTATGCAGTATGATATACCCATAGTGCGTCATCTAGCTTGGTAGCCCAATCCTTCCTTGCATTCACTATTTTCTCTAAACTTTGTTTCACTTCCCTACTCGAAACATAAACTTGGCCACTAGTTTGTGGACGATAGGCTGTCGCAACCTTGTATTTTACCCCATACTTAGATAAGAGGTTGCCCAACAATTCATTACAAAAGTGAGTACCTCTATCATTGATCAAAGCACTTGGAGTCCCAAATCTCGTGAAGATGTTCTTTTTCACAAAATTCACCACAACTTTAGCATTATTCGTAGGCAAAGCCATGACCTCTACACACTTGGACACATAATCAACCGCTACCAGAGTGTACCTGTGACCATTGGAATATGAAAGCATCCGCATGAAGTCTATTCCCCATACATCGAAGATCTCGACCTCAAGTATGCTTTTCAAATGCATCTCATGCCTTCTTGAAATTGCATATGTTCTTTGGCACCTATCACACCTTTTCACAAAAACATGTGCATCCTTGAATAGTGTAGGCCAATAGAATCCTGACTGCAATACTTTTGCAGCCATTTTGTCACCACCATGGTGCCCTACATATGGCTATGCATGACATTCATGCAAAATCGCTTCCATCTCATCCTCAAGAACACAGTGGTGCACCAACTGATCAGCATAATGCGTGAACAAAAATGGCTCATCCTATAGATAAAATCTAATATTATGAATGAACCTTCCCTTACCATCTGGTGACAACTTTGGAGGTGTTATCCCACTTACAATGAAGTTCACATAGTTAGCATACCATGGGACTACACCAGCAGTAATGGCTAGTAACAGCTCATCGGAGAAAATCTACTTCATTCCACCTTCTTCATTAACATGTGCACGAGTTTTCAAGTGCGACAAGTGATCAGGTACCTGATTTTTGGTCCCATTTTTTATCTCGGATTTCAACATCAAATTCCTGCAAAAGAAGAAACCAACAAATTAGTCTAGGCTTAGCATCCTTTTTCTCAAACAAGTACTTGATTGTGGCATGGTATGTGTGGACGATGATTTTTTTTCCCACAAAGTAGGCTCTAAATTTGTCAAATGACCATACTACCGCTAGAAACTCCTTCTCTGTAACTATGTAATTTATTTGTGTTGGATTCAGATTTTTGCTAGTGTAGTAAATTGAATGGAACATTTCCTCTTTTCTTTTTCTTTGGCCCGAAACGGGCCTAATTGACGTGTCACTAGCATAACGCATTACCTCAAAGGATGTGATAATGGTTTTAGTTACCAATCTCTTTTTCAGTTCCTCAAAGGCCCTCAAGAAAACATCATCAAACTTTAAAGAAGTGTCATTTTCAAGCAACCTGCACAAGGGAGCATAATCTTAGAGAAATATTTAATGAATCTACAGTAGAAACCTGCATGACCCAAAAAGCTTCTTAATCCTTTGACATAAATTGTAGGTGACAATTTGTTGATTGCCTCCACTTTTGCCTTGTTCATCTCCGAACCTTCTTTGGACACCTTGTGACCGAGCATAATCCCTTTTCGTACAATAAAATGGCACTTCTCCCATTTTAGTTCCAAGTTTGCCTCTTCACACCTGGCAAATACTTTACTCAAATTTGTTAAGCATTGATCAAAAGATGTCCCAAAGACCGAAAAGTCATCTATAACTACGTCAACAAAATTTTCTGTCATATCAGTGAAGATTACCATCATACACCTTTGAAAAGTCGAAGGTACATTGCACAACCCAAATGGTATTCTTTTAAAAGCATATGTGCCATAAGGACAAGTGAAGGTAGTCTTATCTTGGTCCTCCGATGCAA